TAACTGAAAGCTTAATAGACTGCTAACATCAAGACAATTTTCCATAACGCACACCGACCGACCACCCGAGGCGTCCTCAAAAATGTCTTGTCATCATTCCGAGCGGGGAATTTCAAAACAAGATAAACTTTCGGAAACTCCCTCCGTTTCCGAAGAGCGTTTTACGAGGGTCCGACAAATCCCCGAAATGGTTCCGCATGGTGCTCAAACCCACCAATTCGTGTCCCCCAAGCCGCGTTTCAATTTACCCTTTGTATCGTTTGTTGAAATAAAACGTAGCGTTTTGTTTTTCAGCGGGGCGGCGTGATTGGGCGTGATAGTTGTTATTTTTATTGCTTAGCGTGTTGGCTTAGTGTTATACAAAAACATTACATCTCATCACTTTATACTATTTTGTATATATATTTTTAGACTTTATTTGTTTTTAGAAATATTTAAGGCATGCTCGTAAACGCTTAGAAGATAGATGGGATTACTTAAGCTTTTTAAAACTTCGTATAAACACATACTTGTAAAGATTATCTATTGATGAAGTTCATCATATCAGCCTTTAAGCGTTCACTGCTGAACATAAACCTCCCTCTTGGGGGGTTTTACCAGTAGTTGCCACACTTGGCAGGCAGATTAGCAACCGCAGTTAAGCTTTGAAGATGTTTTAATAGAGACACTGCTGCCCAGCCCTCGCTCTCTCTTATTCGCATATTACGACACCCACGGGAATGGAAGGGGTGGTCCCTGACAATGGGCCATCCTTTCTCATTGGTGCCTAAGATAATTTAATAATCGAGGGATGGACAGCAACGTCCCTCTTAAAACATCACTAAAGCCTAACCGCGGTCAACCTGCCTGTCCAAGCGTGACAACCACTGGTAAAACTCTCCTTATGCGGGAGGCCTATGTTCAGCAATGAACAATTGACGACTGACATGATGATGATGATGAAACAAAAAAACAAGTTTTTCCTCTTTATTATATTTATGTATATACTTTATTGCACCATTTATAAAAACAACTACAATAAATTTAAAAAAAAGGAAAATAAAAGGCCTTATCGCTAAGCGATCTCTTCCAGACGCCCTTTGATTAGAGGACATTGAGAAAAAAGACATATTAAAGTAAATAAACTATTTAAAACTTGCGAAATTAATCTAATGATTTAATTTTAGATGACTTTGTTATATCTAATACTTGCATAGGTAGATATAATAGAAAATAAGTAAAATAAAATGTGTATAATTAATGTATCGATATCTGGTTTTGCTTTTTGTTTCTTTTTTTTTTTGTACTACCATATCTGTTGTTCATATGATTACACTAAGTGTGTTTCTGTGTTCAATAACCGTTTTATTTCCCCTTCTGAGTAAAATAACTCTGTGGGTAAATTTGTATTGCTTATATTTTTCAATTTTTTTGCACCGATGTTGTAGTCTTATGATATGATAATACCTTTAAGTCTTATTGGATTTTTTATGTATAATATATATAAAACCAGACTTGTTACTTTTAACAATAATATCTATTAATTCTATTAATTCTTTAATATAATATTTTTTTGTTATTATCATTGTTTCATTCTAATAAACGTTTAGAGCTACTGTACGGTCCCAGCATAGAATGAACCACGTCTTCCTTTCTCGTGGGTGTCGAAATAGGAGACTAAGGGAATTTAAGAATCGAAGAAAGAGCAGCAGTGTTTCTCTTAAAACATCACTAAAGCGTAACTTTGATTGTCAACCCACCTGCCAAGTGTAGCAACTAATGGCAAAACCCCCCTTATGAAGGTGACCTATGTTGAGCAGTGGACAGCTAACGGCTGATATCATCATCAAAAATGTATGATGCCTTGTAATGTAGCGATGGAAAAAAAACTTATTACAGATAGTACTGTAGTACAATTGTAATAATACCACCGGGTTACATACATCTGTACTTATCTTCTCAAAATACTATTTTCTTTGTCTAGACTATATCATACAATATAAATATTTTAGTAGGATAGAAAAAAACACCTTATATAGAAGAGACCTAATTTCATATTATATTTAAAAAACTTTTTATGTTTCACCAACGAAATAAACAAGAATTGCACCCTCGCGTGTACTAATAAAGCTTGACTAAGGATATAAGGAATCTCTATCGGAGCGCAACTTTATGGTTTCTAATTTATGTTATGGAGATCGTAATAGTAAAAATAGATCATTTTATATCCGCAACATGGTGAGTTTGCATAAATCATGATCAGACCTAAGAATGTTTTTTATTTTTTTTACAACTAGCGCTATTAGATCACATCAAATCTTTCGCGATACTATAGATATAAACTCTTGCAAAGTATGACTATTATACTTTCAATAAATCTTCTAAGGACCTATCAAGGTAAAGATAATCGAATCTACCTCTATATTTTATTCAATTTTTCTATAAAAGACGTGAGGTTAAAAAAACTAAGATAAAAGATTTTTAAAATTAAATTAACAGTTTATTTATCCAATCGCAGTTACCTACTGCATCCGTTATTTATTGAGCATTGTTTGTTGTATATTATCTACCATTTATACCTACTTACTGATTGTAACTGTTTTCACGTATTAAATAGATTATTGTATTAAAACAAGTATTAATTGTGTTTTGAAAACCTTGCCTTGCCTTTTCATTCTCACCTATCATTCTTCACTGGTGCACCGCCAGCGTGTACCGATAGCGCAGGCGGGGGTTACCACTCCATTATAATTCATTGAAAAAAAATTGACTGTAATAATTACGTTACGTTTACTTAATTAGATTAGTAAGTAATTATTGTACTTCTAAGTCTTACCTAGTCTACCGACGTAAATATTCATTACTTACTTGAACTTTGAGTCTTTGAAATTTCGTCACGTGAACTAATAAATTCTGATTCGCAAGTATGTGATTGGTCCTTGTATTAAGCTCTAATTAACGAAACAAACATGCTGCAATTAACTAAATATACTATTGACACGTAAACTAAACAAAGAATCCAACTAGTCGATGGACTACTCCATAGATGAAAAACTATGCTCAATCTCAGGGTGTAAAATATGTCAAGCGGCTGCGATGCCTTACTATACTACCTATTTAGTGTAAAAAAGCAAAAGAGTACTTATTATATGTATTATCAAAAAATCCAAATAAAACTATTTTATTAAATATCTTAATCGTTTTTTATATCTTTTCCAATTCGAATCTTTGATATAATATTGTAGCCTAAATAGTTATTAGTGACATAATATGACACATATTTTTTCCATCTGCGAGTAATGGGATCAAAATTACTCAGGTAAAATTTCTTAAATTTGAATTAATTTTTTTCTGACATAATATAAATACACAAATATATGTATTGCTTATAAATTAGGTAATTACATATTACATATAGTAATAATTAAAATGGCAACTACTTTCAATGATTTTTAAAAATAAAACATATTTTACGTCTGTACTTGGATACAGATTAAAATAATCAAAGATATCATTACAAATCTGTATACACTGTTTACCTTGTACTTTCAAATATATTCTTAATAATTTTGTATTATTTTTATTTTTCAATTTATTCTTATAGTAATTTTTTCAATACACTAAGTAATAAATGTAATTATGGTAACCCTATTCACGCACACATGAATAAAAATGTCGACCTGTTTTTGAGACTAAACCTGTCTTTTAGAAGTTATTTAAAAATAATGACTGAAACTATCAAACACTTATTACCGAGCGTTTATGAATCGATTATAAATCAAGTTTTTGTGTTTTATAACGTTCTGTTTTTAATAAACATTAAATCAAAGTAAACGAAATCAATTCGCTTGTCACCTGTATGTCACAATTTTAATAACATTATTGGATTATTTCTATACAAAGTTTTAACTAAATTTTACAATACATTCAGATGATTTACTAGGAATGTTTATATTAAGTTTTATCATCATATTAACGACAATTTATCGTCTGCTGCAGATAGTGAACAAAGACCTTGAGTCACCGTTTAGTCATTCATTATTTACTTTATGAATCTTCATTTTATACATATTTGTATGCCATAAAAATAAACTAACAATTTAATATCTTTTTATTTTAGATCGGGTATATAGATATATTTGTCCACACTTGATGGATCACACTTTAAATCCAAAAAAAATTGCTGCAGATTATGTAATAATTATTGTTGAATATATTCCATAATTTAGATCTCACAAAGCGCAATTTTTATTTATTATAAAATAAACGTTTACAACAATTTTATTCACGTACTAACGATCTGCTATATACCTGTATTATTGACATCTATACTCGTATATTATTTTCGAAAATAATATGTAACCTGTGTTACCTGCTGGTAATAGTAGCTATCTATAACAGAGTTATTTTTAAAACTTTTTCAAATTTTTATTCGATGTCTATATACATATGTAACAGAAAATTAATATAGTCACTATATTTTCATCGTTTCCGACATTTGATTAGACTTCATCCAGAAGTCTTCTGCAAAGAATGTTTTCACGCTTTGCGTCACAACTTTTCGCCTCGCACTATCGGCCGCAGCTCGCATAACCCGTGATGACGTCGGTGCGAGCAGGGGTGGGGGTGGAGATAACGGTGACCCGAGATAATGATGTGTGGTGGAAGAATGTTTAAATCGGTTGAGTAGTTTAGGAGTTTATCCATTAAAAAACAAACAAGGAGTCAAATATTTCTTCTTTATAATAATAGTATATATTTAGCTTCGAGATAACCCCAAGGTTATAGTTTCATGATTTAAATAATTGTAACAGAATATGATTCACGATAATTATAATTCAAAAATTAAAAAATAAATAAAGAATCACTCTTTATTGTCCCCCCAAAATATTGCAGTAGAAAAATAAAAGTAACAACTAACAGAAAAAAAACTATTTAGTAATTTCTGTTTCTGTTAGTTATTCTTGTATATCATATTATTTTTCTAGGCGTCTTGAATAGAGGTGAATAATGCAAAAGAATAAAAAAATACATTATTTTATTTTGAAAAGTTGTACATGTTTTCAATTAATATTTATTTAAAGAAGTACATATATTTGTTGATTTTCATTAATACAGAGATAAATATATATCTATTTTAAAATATTCAATAATAATCTCTGTTTACCTACTTATTTTTTATATGTAAATTACTTAGGCAATTATGATAGTCAACATGATTGATAATGATGAGTAATTTATAAACTAAGACAGAAACAAGTTGTCGTACTTATTTGCCTATACTTGCATAATTTCTGATGTTCTTATTGTTCTTCCTATTAAAAATGTTATTTGATGTTAATCATATATTTTATACAATAATATCTATGACGTATAATAAACAATAATTTTATATTTTCATGTCTGTAAAATGAAACTTACAATATTTTATTATAACAGCTACAATGCTTTTAAAGTAATATTTAATAATATCAAATTATATTTAAATACTTAGAATATCATATTTTTAAACAATGTTTCTTTTTTTATATAAAAATATATCGTTACTTTTATTATCTAAATTACTCTCAGTTTCTTTGGCGACGCCTTAATTACTGATCTGTAAAGAAAAATACAAATTTATTAAATTGAAATAATTATTATAACTGCTGAGTACATTATACATAAGTACATCATATTAACTCTATGAATTAAACATCAGTATTTTCAATAATTGTACAAATCAGTCTTTAGATTTGACTGAACACTCTACGCAAATTTGGATTGATACAGTCAGTCATATTTCTCGTCAGTCAAAATAACATCTTTATTTGGACGCATAATACCTGAAACCACGTTATCTTGTACTGGTGGTAAAATGTAGAACTAATAAGAAATGTATGTAAATTGACAGATCAGCGCCACCACGCAGTATCAAATGTAAATATGTCCAAGTTAACCCATACAAAAATTAGGATCGATTCTGAAGCGCAATTTTTCTAAACCTATCTCCTAACCCAATGTGTGAATTATAGTTTTGTGAAATTACTTTTTATGGACCGTCATAAGCTAAAAATATAATAATTTTAATTTTAGATTTAAGATTTCACTGTAATATTAAAATGAATTTTTATTTTAGAGATAAGAATTCCACTTCAGAATCGACCCTTTTAATGATTGTGTTCTATAAATATGTTATTTAGGTTAGGATTACTAATATCTCGTATATACATACTTTTAAATCCAAACATAGATTTCCTTTCCTCCTCTGTGTAATCAGCAAATTGGTTGATGCCAAAAGTTGCGTGAGGTTGATTTGCGTTCATCTCATTTATGCTATGTAAACTTTTTACAAACGCATCGTAATGGGTCTTTCTGTCCGTTTCATCCTTGTATTCTCTATTGTATTCCTTCACAAACTTTTCAAATAATGAAGGTGCCTCGTTAACATCATAATAAACTTTTTTAGGTGTATCATCCGCACTCGCCATGGCGATTACAACGATTAACAACACAACACTGATGAATACTGACTTCATTTTACGCAGCTGATATTACTGCAATGCAACCGAGTTCCTTTGTTCGTATTTGTTCACAGCGGCGTTAATATAAATACCTAATAGTGATGTCACTGTGGAAGTTCACTGGTATTATAATCATTAGGCAATAATTCAATAGGTTATTAAAAACTAAGGATAGATAAGTAACTATTTATTCAATCTATACAATAACAACAATGTATCATAAAATTGTAATGTTTAGTGCTCATTTATAATAATATTTTATTACTCATTTTAAAATAGCTATCTAGTTATATAAATACAAATATCATATTAATTATATGCTTAATAATATTTTTTTATATTTTACACAAAAGTTTAACATTTTTATCTAAAATTCTAGTACTGGGATATTAAATAAATTTGTATGAAAATGTAATAAAAATAATAATAATTAATATTTAAACAATATTATATAATTTTCTGCAACGATGTCGTAGGTCTAATAGTGGCACAGGTAATAATATCGTGGATGTGTAGGAAAATTTAAAAGGGTTCTCATATAGTTGCATACATTTTGCTCTCCAATTGTTACGTAACGGTAAAATATAATAGTACGATATCGTACCACGCTACGATAAATTATTATAAAAACTGCACTTTAATAACAATTAGGTCGAGGGGGGGGGGAGAAGGGATTGTTAATAATGGTGATTAGTAGCCCCATTGCTAGCAATACACCTTGTCAGGTCGACCTCCTCGCGGTTCCTCTTGGAAACTATTTAAAGTAAATTCATCATATTAGACTAATTGACCTGCATTCATCCTTACCTATCACTGATACTCCGCCGGCGTATACCGATAGCGCGGGTAAGGATACCATTCCATAATCATTCATTTAAAAAAATAAACAGATTTGCAGTTAGCATGCTGTCTCATATACTGCGTAGAATAGCATGTAACTATCTCAATAGATGGCGGTAGTTGCACCATTCATATAATATTTGTATAAATTCTTTGTACTGCGTTTGTATTTTGTATTATCTATTCCATACTTGTGAGACGTTCATTGAATATGACTGAGGAATGAGTTTAAAAGTTCAATGAAAGATTTTTTATTAAATTATAATAAAACTTTATTTTATGTATTGTCATTGTCCATAACATTGTATTTTGATTTTCAATTATTGTTGATATTGAAATAAAACAACAACCATGAGTTTTTTTACATTTTACCAACCATATAATAAACAAATAACAACAATATTTAGATAAATTTAGTTCAATTTTCACAATACATACCCAACAAACTTAAAAAGTAAAAAAATAAGTATTTAATTACAATATATCAATTTACAAAACAGGCAAATTTAGACCATTTATATTGTTTAATTCTTCTTTTGTGTAATCCGAAAACTCGTTTATATCGAAAACAGCACTCGGTTGTTCTTCATTAAGGCGATTAATTTTTCTTAAATTCTCTATAAAAGCATAAAAATGCACTTTTCTATCTGCAGCATTCTTATAATTTCGTTTATAATCTCTAATGAATTTAGTAAATAGTTCTGCAGAATCGTGTAGATCATAATAGGGTTTTATTAATGTATCATTTGCCACAACACTGACTAAAATAACCAAAAATGTAAAAATTGCAGAGTTCATTTTAGAGAAAGCTATTCTCAAACTAATGATCAGGTGCAGTACAACGCTTAGATATTTATATTAAGACGCTGATTGTAATTCTGTGCGATATATCTAATCAATTAAGAGTTTAAAATCAATTTCACATTGCATTTATTTACCAATATTAGGTATGTATATAAGTAATTTAAAATCATATCAACTTCACACTAGATTATAAAACATTCAAACCTATTAGTCGTTATTTCCAATTACATTAACAGCTAGCTATTTCCCGCGGCTTATCCTGCGCAAATCCTTCTCTATTGCCGTAACAATTTTGGCGGTATATACCTTATGTGTATTCGTACCTATATAAAGGATAATGTAGCTTTCAGAATGAAGTATAAAGATAATCCTCGCCTTCTTATAAATACTCGTAGATATTTATTTTATTCCAAAATAAAAAATGCACATTCATTTTCAACCGACTTCAAAAAATAAGAAGTTTCTCAATTCGGTTGTATTCCCGTTATTTTTTTGGAATCAATTTGGAAAATTCTTCCTTTACACTTTATGGATATACTTTTAAATTGTCTCATAGAAATTTTATCAAAATCGGTATAGTAGTTTAGTTTTTAAATCAAAATAACTGGCTTTATTGTGGTCGATTTCTTTTTTGTGAAACACAATCTTAAATTAATACCATAGGTAACACAATTAGATCTTTACTTACTATTAGGAGCCAATTATTGTCTCCAGATTTTATAAAGTACTGTAAAATAGAAGGTACGCCAGGACTTTTCTACTCTAGCAATTTGTTCAGTAAGAGTATACAGGTATGCGACCCCGGCCTCCCAAGCTACTGCAGTTTCTAATCAATTTCCCCTACGTAACTACAATGTACCCCTTTCTCTTTTCTTTATGAATCCTTCATTTCATTATAAACAACTTTCTTTACTTACTTCTAATGTTCCCCTACTGGGGGGGAGGGATTATTAATAACAGAGACTAAGGACCCCATTGCTAGCAATATACCCAAACAGGTCGACCTCCGTGTGGTCCCCCCTGGAAACTATCGTGCTGAATTCCAAGTGTATTCAACATGACGGGCTAACTGACCTGTCTTTTCATTTTTACCTATCATCACTCATTGGTGCCCCGCCAGCGTATACCAATAGCGCAGACGGGGTTACAATTCCATCAGCACTCATTAAAAAAATTATCCCCTACTTTTTAATCAATCCTTTCCTTTATATAATAAGTAGTACGACAAATGCATTCCCAAGGAGGATGACATCAGGCAGGCGACCGGTATCAAAAACAAAAATCTTGTGCAATATGAATAAAAACATTTTACGCCAACCCTAAATAATCGGTATAATGCCAGAAAAATGATAGGTAATATATGTGTATAGTAGGTAATCGCCTAAACTGGAATTTAATAGTTTAAAAACATTTATTTGACCCCAAGGTCTAATTTGTTTCAAGTAAATATACGTTATCAAAACGTAAAAACAAGTTACATATCTATACCTAAGACCTTTGCGAATATGTCTAGAGTATTAATAGAATAATCAGCAGACAAACAAATTTGCGCTGTTTTATACGTACTTAGTATTATTTAAAATATGATGCATTAAACTTTTACCCACGACAAAGTTCTCATGACTGAGATAAATACCAGCCTGTGTCCTTCTTCATTTTTTTTTTATAACACAAATGGCAAACGCGCATATGGCTCACCTGATGGTAAGTGACCACCGCTGCCCATGCCATATAAGTAGTACGTATGTATCAAATTTTATGCTGAACCATTAAAAGACTGAGTTAGAGGTAACAAACAAACTAACTTTCATATTTATAATATTTGTGAAGATAACAATAATATATCTAAGTTCATTGTATAATTCATAAATTCACGCCGTCTTCATATACTTAAAATTACCTTCAGGTTTGTTACTATGTAGTAATTTTGCAGTAAGTACTTACTTATTTAATTTACTTAGCAATAATTTAATATCTATTGTCTTATTCCCATTAATTTTAATTACCCATTTATTGTGTATAAGTGACGTAACTGGTAACATTGGATGGTTTTGATGTCAGAATATCCTAACATTCTGACATGATAACGTCATTATTATGCAACATTCATGATATCGAAATGCATACAACATGGTTACTACTGAACATAGGCCTCCCTATATTGGGAGGAGGGTCAATAATAATAATTTATATCATTAATTAATAATTTATTTCAGGTACTGACAGACCCATATAAATAAATGTCACATGACATATTACTACGTGAAATATATATATATATATATATATATATATATATATATATATATATATATATATATATATATATATATATATATATATATATATTTGGTAATGTAATCTATTAAGTTACATCATATATAAAAATCCCATGTCACAATGTTCGTTCATACTAATCTCCCAAACCGCTCAACCAATTTTAATGAAATGTCTATTATTTCCTCCAACTTGAGGTGTTTTATCCTGATATATGGCCCCAAGAAGTAATTTATATGGTAAATAAAAACCTGTGGGAATAATACAAGTGTTTTCACTTATAAAGATGAAATTTCAGACTTCCGCCTTTACCTACAACGAAGTTACTGACAGGGGGTTTAAAAGCACCGTGAATTGTTTCGGATATTAAAAGGATATTATGGTTGTATTTTACTTGCATGATTTGGCTGGAGTCATATTCAGATCCACTTATACTATTTTTTTATAATTTGTTTATACATATAGCTTTTACATACAGCCTCGTCCGTAGGATTTAAAATAGTCTTCTTCTTTTATAAATATAAAATGTATGCCTAACTTAATATATAAAACTCCTGTAACACAATATTTGTTCACACCAAACTTTAAAACTGTCGTATGTTATATTTAAATTTACGTTAAATTATTACCACCACCAATCCGTCCTAAACGCAATCAATCAATCAGTCAATCAGGTTTCCTATAAAAGTGTGTAATAAAGTTTTTACAAAACTATTATAAGTTCTGCATCGAAACTGAAAAAGTTTGTATCGGTATGAAGCAAATACATCATTGGATACGAAAAAAGATGAAGAGAGCCGACAGAATGTTGTAAACTGGCTGTCTCTCTTGGCACTACACAGAACACCACTTTTGGGCACTCTATTGTATCACACAGACAGCGTGGCCGAACTGTCGTTCGGCCGTCTGTGTGATGCCAGGGAAGACGCATCTCTCGAATTACCACTCGCAGACAAGATTAATACTGGATGTACCCGTCTAAAGTGATCATAAACAAATCAATAATTAAAATTGGATCACAATCAACAAAGATGTCACATAAAATATATCTAAAAAAAATATTACGGAGATTAAATTCATACTTTTTTGAAGTCGGTTAAAAAAATATACAATGCGCTTTTAATCAATTACCTGTAGTTTAATTTAAACTCAGTGTATAGTTATAACAACATAAACTTCACGGTTTGGTTAAACGACGATAAAATCAGTTTATTCCGAACATGTATTCGTAGTGGTACGTGTAAATAAATTCTATACATTATTAACAAACACATTGTTTTTACAATTTCATAAACATGTTTAACCATATTACAAAATAATTAATATTTCATTGATATACAAAAAAATATATATAGTTCCATAGAAAAGTTACGCTCAAAACAAGACATGAGTGAAACAGAAAACAAAAATAAGAAACTACATGTAATATATTAATTATATGTAATATTTGTAAAATATATATAAAAATGTATGTATATGTATAAATATTTTAGCACATTTAACCACTAATCATTTGCTAGACGATCAGAAATAAGTGTGAAATTTACTAAAATACGTTCTATTTTCAATATTGCAATGTATTTCTAAATTTTTTTTATATAACAATGATTTAACATTTCATGTAAGCTTTAATCTTGATTCCTTCATTTTATAGGATTTCTTTCAGTATCTTAGATTCTCTTTTAGTTAGCATCAAGAAAAACTTTCATTGAATTCCAGAAATTTAAAAGAATATATTATTAAATTTATTAGCATTGGCATATTTATTTACTGGCAACACTGATTAAAGACCTTCGTCTTCAAACTCTAAGGTATTTTGGATGAAAAGATGTGGCGTAGTTTTCCGAAACCTCCTCTTTTTTTTATGTTCCACGATATCAAAATATTTACTTTTTGTAAATGCTTTTAACACCATCTACGTAAACAAAATCACAAGTAAGAGTTACATTACAACGCAATCTTGAACGTTAGAACATAAATCTTTATTATTACCTGTTCATTACAATTTAACCCTGTGGTCCCTGTATCATGAACGAAACAGTATGTTATGTCCATGGTACTGCTCATGTCTAGAGGCGGCGGTTATCACTTTCCATCAGGTGGACCGTCAGCTTGTTTGCCTTTTTAAGTTGTATAAAAAAAAATAGAATAGGCCACCCCTTCCTTTCCCAGGGATGTCGTAAAAGACGACTAAGGGAGGGTGAGGGATGGGCAACAGCGTCCTTCTTAAAACATCTTCAAAGCCTAACTGTAGTTACCAATCTGCCTGCTAAGCATGGCAATTACTGGAACCCCCCCCCCCCCCTGAGGGAGACTTACGTTCAGCAGTGAACAATTAAAGACTGATATAATGATGATTACAGTTCAAACAAACATTAATAAGTGACTTGTTTAATAGTAATTTTATCTAAATACTATAAACTTCTATCATTCCTTATACCTATACCTAAACTGTAACCTTTTATGATTGATCCACCTCCTATCCCTCTCTAAAGATGACCTTACCCTATCCCCCCCCCAGCCCTCTCTATGTATTCAAATATGACGAATCCCGCAAAAAAAAATTTAAAAGAAATAATGGCAGAATGTATTGAGATTCTTGACCTTTTTAAAATCGGTTAAATATATATCTTTTTTAGACCACTGAGGTGGCAAACAAGTATACTTGAAATTAATATCGTGGCATCTGTTTAAATAGTTATTATATTATTTGTGATTCCATCCATACGCTTTCATTTAACCAAATTGGATTTTCGGAACTCAGAACGATAAGCGGACGTTACAGGGGACAATAGGCATTTACGAGGGCAAATACAAAAGTAAACGTGGCATTTAGTAACTTTAATTACCGTCATATCGACGTTAAAAATAATTCGATATGAATACAAAATAGACAAAATTCTGAGGGTTGGAACATATCCTCCGTAATGAAAATATATTTAATATTAAGTCCGCATTTTGACCCATCTACTAAACTGGTCAAGAACAAGAACGGGTTAATAAAGCTAATTTTGAATTGAATTCTGTAATTTACATACAGGTCAATTTACATTATAGTTAACAAATTATTATTTTTTTACTAAAAATAAAAAATTACATGTTTAACTTTATTTTAAAATAATCTGAATATATCTATTATCAACAGCTAAATGTTGATATAAAAAACTTTTTAGTAGTCTTTTTTCAGTGGTTTTTGTTCAGTGGCAAACGAAACTATAATATTGAAGATAGATTTGTTATTGCTAGCGAGTCGATTAATAGAATCGTAAGCATAACGATAGAATGAGATGGCAACATCTGAAGTCTTGTTCTTCTTCATATGAGCATTTACCGAGACAATTCTATCGTTAAATTCATTTAATAATAGTCTAAGAGATAGCACAGTCTTACTGAATATTTTCCACGTGTTAAAAAAAGATGTATTGCCATGTATATAGTCCCAGCGTAGAATGGACATCCCTTCCTATTCCGTGGATTTCATAAGAGATGACTAAATGAACTTAAACAAGGAATAGGCAACAGCGTCTTTTTAAATTATCATTCATCATATTTAAAATATCATCAAAACCTGACTGCGGTTGCCAACCCGCCTACCAAGCATGGCAACTACTGGCAAACACCGCAATAGAAGGAGGCATATGTTCAGCAGTGGACAGTTAACGGCTAATTGATTATACTTGTGTATATATTTTACCTAAGAGCCCTAAAGCTTTATCACTCTATACCAGAGGGAGACTGTACAAAAGTCGTTTGCTTAGGCACCTATTCATATTTCTACCGTGAAGCAATTGTGTTTGCAGGGTTGTATTATGTTTTGAAGGGTGGGATATGGCAGTGAATTTACAGGGTACAGAGGAATAACAACAGAGTTCTCAGGAATGGCAACGCATGGGGGTATCATGGGCGAAACAGTATACTCTGTTATGTCCATGGCTCTGCTTATGTCTATAGGCGATGGTTACCACTTTCCATTAGGTGAGCCGTCAACTTGTTTGCTGTTCTAAGTCACATAAAAAAAACTCTGGATCAAACACGTAGGCGAAGAAAACAAATAAATGTACTTAATTAAAATTAAATTATTTTATTTACAAACAGTTAATTTACAAACTTCTACTATTACATTTCTGCGGCGGGAATACCGATGTTTTGCTAAAGCGGCGTATCGGTAATTGTTTGTTGTTCATCAACCACAGATATACCTGAAATAATAATAAATTATAATTGAAAATCGAATGTTTACCATTCAATTGGAACAGTGACATGGTATTCAGTATGCAAATTATTGCAATTCATCTATTAATGTGCCACTGATACCTATTGTACTGATATATATATTTGTCGGCTCGCTCATGATACAATGTTCATAATGACGGTGGGAAATTGGTAATTGATATCATTCTAGTCATTTTTGTGTATTGTTACTAACAATATTGTCTCCCCTCTACAATTCCTGATTCAGAGTCTTTCAAAATAAATAGACATTATTCAGTATTTACTCTGTTCAGGTTCGCATGTAGAATACACTCTTAAAAACAATGTTTAAGTTTTGCTCTCACTCAATATAGATATAAAATGTAACTAGTTATTTACCATAATTATAGTCTATTCAAGTAGCAAATACAAAAACATCTTAATATTATCTATACATTTATTACTTTGTTACGCAAATTATTTTGTTTCTACTTGATTTTGAGTCGATTTTGTTCTACTAAACAACATCGACTTCAATCGTGGAAACCACAGTCATTTTGATTTAAAAAAAAATCTGTGGGACCAATCTATAAGTGTATTAGATAAAAAAAGAATTCTATACCTAGTCCAGCCATAAATTCTCTTACAAATAAAAATGCATATTTTTTTATGAAGAAATGTAATATTATAGTACATTACTGCAGCGGCCAGCAATTGAGGCATTGATGGACGAACGTGCAAATGTGGGCCGAGGCGTAGCCGAGGCACACATACGTGAGTCCATCAATGCCTAGTTGTGGCCAAGGCTTATATAGTACTTTTCTCAAACAATGCGCAGGAATCAAAAACACAATTTTACTTTTTAAGTTCAATGACGAATAACGAACAATAATAATTTTTCACGCGCCATAATGTTCCTTTATTTTTTTTTTCTATAAACAGCTTTCTATTTGCAAGCTAGTTCGAAATTTAAATAAAACCTTTTAATAATTACCTCCTTGGAAGCCATGTTTAGAAGTAAAAGGTCATTTCATTTTTAAATTACAGGACAGATATGAGTTTACATAGTAATTTATGTGGCCGCAAAACACGACAGATATGGATTTTCATACAACTTTTGCCGGCGTTGTTCGCATGTATCTGGCTAGTACGGCAATTTTGATTTGTCTCTAAGAAGATTGTCAAAATAATGCTCACATTTCCAAGCATGTTTGAGAAAATAAAATTTATACCTTCATATTTAGTGAAGTAACAGTATTTATAGTCAGACTAGTTATAATTAATATTCTTATTATTAGGTTAATCTTATACGCACAGCTGTAATAATATTATAATTACGTCTATGCATAACGTAGTATGCATAACTAGTAAGTACTTATTTATTTAATTTTTAGGTAGATAGATATTTATTTAATTTTTATTTCAACATATAATATGAAGCGAGAGAGAATAAAGCGTATCGATATTAATAACGCGACGATGAGTATCATGTACGTACTTATATTTGTGGCACACTGAAATGATAAAAGGGTAAACAGTAATATTAAATGCTTTCGCATCGCTACAGCGTTTAATTATTTTAAATGTGGCTGCCCATTCCAAATATAGACAGCTGTGTAATTGCATCCAATGATAATAGTAGGTAGTGTTTTTCAAAAATACCTTTAAATCGCGATCACGTTCAATAGGTACATGTCAATACTTTTCCTACTGACCAGAGAATAGTAACTAATATCTTTCTTCATACGAAATACTACAAATTTCATGACGATTGATTGATTATTAATGTGACAAGAGGTAACAAACTAATAAATAAATTCTCTTTCTTATTTATAACTGGCTGTATCCCGCGGCTTTACTCACATGAATCAGTGTATAAAGAACCTTATGTACTAAGATAGGATATATCTTACTTTTATACTAAGTTTCGTTCAAATCCGTTTAGTAGATTTGCGTACTCACCTATTAGGAACCTTCTCAAATCGCTATCACAGTATACAGGCTCATGTAGTACGCTGTCGAGTTGCTCTTTAATCGCAGGCCTGGTATTGCACCAAATAACCTGACCGCTTCTCGACCATTCTGTCACTAACATTTTAATACTCTGTGGAAAAAAGAATAAAAGTGTTACAATACAACTATTGCAGAACTGAACAACACCCTAAAAGAAAACTCTACATCAATTTGTCGAGTACAAGAACCAGTAAAAAATAAATGAAATAAATATTTAAAAATTATAATTAAATGCTATTAAATAATATATAACACAAATAAGTATTTATTAATTTAGTTTATAAATAACTAATTTAATTAAATTGGTAAAAAAATCTACTTTATAAGAGATTATAGTTGTGAGCATATTCATTTTTAAGTACTTATAATTTTAATTTAAAATTACTGGCCTGTACATATTATGTACTGCGTAATGTATAATTTAAAAGTTAACGCTGTGGTTTTACATCAACGTTGCATGCGTTTTGACGTGCGGCTTTATGCTGTCAGAATATTAAATTATGTATGTTTTAATATTCACTAAAATAATATTGTTGCTGTTTAATAGAATAGACCAGGGTTGTAGTATTATTCCAGCTGTAACATTATACCACGAACGACAACTTTAAAACTGTATAATCTTAGAATAAATACAACAGCGTTAAAAGTCGATGACCACATTTTTAAAACCCCTCTACTCTGTATTGTATACAGGCTGAATTCGAAATGGTTAGCATCCTTTGAAAGAAGTATTCTGTCAATGAATCTAAACTTTTCACCAAAGAAACGTGTGACAAAAAATTATAAAAATCTTTTTTTTTTACCTGTTTAGCCTACCATACTCACATAGTGCATTCAGCTACTGAATTAAAGAAGATTGTAAACTTTTCGTCTATTTTGAATTTTTGATATACAAAATTTCTTATCTAATATGAATATTTTATAAGTAGAGTTTTAGAAATCGCTAACAATTTCGATATTACCTGTTTAATTATGATATTCATCCAATTCTGTCATTAATCTTATTAAACTACTTCCTAATTCTCGCAATTATGTTTAAGATAATAATAGTAATGTTTTGGGAGTTTGGAGGTGTTCATCGAATTTTGACCCTGACTGTACCTCAGTCTATATTAAAACTAAGTACATCATTACTGATAATTTTTCCTTGAGGTTACTCTATATCAAAAATTTAAAAAAATTATTTGTATTTTTACTTGTTTACAAAGACGCATATAAAACTTAATAATGGATAAAATATTATTTTTTAATATTATTAATACGATTAGGTATGGATTATTTTTTTGTTTCATGTAATGTAACATGTTAAAATTATAATTTTATTATATATTCTTTATTGCACTTGTAAGTTACATATAAAATAATCTATCTATAAATGTTGTAAGCAAGGGTGGACTTATCTCTGACAGAGATCTCTTCCAATCAACCCAGTACAGTAAGAAAGCATTTCGTTAGCGGGCAGCTGAAGTGCTACAACTATTAATACATAAACAAATATACAGTTAAATAAAATATTAAAATATATAATAAAATATTACATAAATACATACACTATAAATACATACAATACCTACCTACTTATATAATATATGTTAAAATAAATTAATATACTACTTAGTACATTAGAAATTTCGTTTAATGATTTTAAGATTTGAGAGTTCAATTAGAAAAATACAAAAAAAAAATATTACTCAAGGGAAAAAAATGTGATTTCAACCTCTTCTTGAAGGATAATAATTATTGTTATGTTATCATATTTATTAATCAAACTTCCTAATATGATAATGTATTGTTGACTTCCATTGGTTGAAAACTACATTTATGAATAAATAAGTACACCTAATTATAAAGTAGTTCATAAATAAACGAGTTAAGCAACTAAATTATATCTTGGCTAATAAAATGACACTGAATTAATTAACACATAAAATAATGAATATCATCGCATCCCATTAAATATAAAATGATGTTAATTAAAAGTCATTACACAGGTTTTATAGTGAATTTGTATACGTACATCTTTTAAATGAAATATCACAAAACGAAGTATTTTCCTCATTAGCTCTTTTAAGCTTTAATCATAAAAAGCTAACTTCAGGTGGATCAATTTAAAAACTAACAAGGTTCCCGCACAAATTTTCTCTATTATACATACTTACTCGTGTATATTTTAATAAAATATATTTTTTTAAGAAAACTTTCTCTAAATTTATTTCTTTCGAAGACCTTAACCTTTAAATTATTTTTATCCGTTATACTCATGCACGCTATTACACCCACACATAGTAAAAAATAGTATTTTAGAAATACATACCTATCGTAGAAACCAAAGACTGGATATCTGTTACCCACTGTAGCATTTTTTAAAATATATTGACAAACATTCGTTACATAATTAATTCCAAGAAATGCAAATATTAAATTTGTTTACTCTCCTAATAATACTGATTAATAAATATTACTAAATTAACTTTTTTAATGTATAATATAATTATTTTTTAAAAGTAGATAAATTAATACTATAGAGTTAAATCTTTCCTTTTTATAATATTAATTTAAATGTCTAATGTCTATAGTTATTTAGACTTAGATAATCAATAAAATTAAGATAAGTCTATAATGAGTTATTAATATCTAATTTCATAAACGGTGAATAGTTTAAAGGCATTATGAGGAAAATAAAATCTAATAAATGTTTCACAGTGAAGAAGTGTAAATAGTTATGTTGAAAGGAAAAAAATTCAAATGCACATTCACAAGTTTAGTATCGTCATAACTCACCTGCAAAAATGTATAATCCATCCTGTACAAGGCGTCGCAATAAATCACCAGTATATTCGCCGATCTCCCTCTTTCCGCCCCTCCTGTGCCATTCCCCACGAAATTATCCGTATTTCCCACATTGTTACCATTTCCTACATTGTTACCGTTTCCCACGGCTATTGTGCCATTGGCCACAGGATCGCGGGGTATTGTGGGGACATTGTCGTCCGTTATAACGGTTAAGGCTTCCAGTCGCGTGTTAGTTATTTTGGTGTTTCTTAATGAAATTAATTGAGAGCGAACTCTTTCTGCGCCAGCGAAATGGAGCCCCCCGACTGGATGTATGGCGTAATGGGGTGGAAGGTTTCCATCCTAGGAAAATAAAAGTTAATAAAATTTTGTGAGGAAAACAAATTAAACGGTCTTGGCAACTTTGATAGTAATTTCATTACAATATTTTTTTAACTATAAAATAGCAGCTCAGCGGCCTACTTGATAGAAAGACGTTATTGTTAATTAACGTTAAATTTTTACAACAATACATTTTCTGCGTTTGGACTTAGTATTCTAAGTACAAAGGTAGGAATAAAGATCTTTACGTTAAGAAAGACAACATGAAATATTTGATGTTACGAGAATTATTATAATCTTATTATTAATATAATAAATGTGATTTTTCTTTGATTAACATTGTATATGTAAAAAAATATATAGCATTATACGAGTATGCTGAAAATTTTATATATACATAACTATAAAAATACTACAGTCAGAGTGAATTTCTTCAAAATTTATGGTTTATCAGTTAATATATTGCTTGTCAATGCGTATAACTTCCATGATATTTGTGTATCCGTAGACTATCGTTACAGAAAAAATAAACTCACATCAACGAACTGCACTCGAAGTGGCGGTCGCGAATGATAATAAAGTAACAGGACTACGTCGATGCCCACTCCGCAGATGAGACCCAGTTCTATGCCCAGCGCTAAACAACACACAAACGTTCCCACCAACGGAATAATGTCCAATCCTGTAAAAATGCATATCTTACAATTTACCATCTTAGTAATTCTAAATCATTAGTGCTTCTATATATTATATAGAGATTGGAGGTCAATATCTTCGTTGAGTTCTAAAATAATGCATTCACTTGATAGTAAGTACACAAAAACGTCAATTAGCAATTGATATACAAATATAATCGATACCAATCATAAAAAATTTGATATAATAGAAGTATGGTCATACATATCTATACCTAATCCACAGTTTCAAGAATCCTAATCAATATTAAAATTTAATTCCATCTTGAAATCGGTATAAAATGATTTAACATTCATTCTTCTTCATCGTAAAATAATTTCCAATATCTATGTTCCCTCTACTTCTACGCATATCTAACCTTTTTCCTCTATTTTTATTTTCAAAATAATGTAAGGACAAAAATTTTATAAAATTTAGAAATAATCCAAAACAATATGTTCAAATCTCTATCTCCGGCATCAATCTCGCCGCATGATACGAAACTGTAACGACGTGTGCGGAGGGCTTAGTTTAAAATCCAGTAGGAATAATTAATAGGCCGTCCGCTGGGATAGTGATGAAATTTCTGGATTTGCTTATATAATCTTTGCGGATTATAAGGGCCCCGCTGAGAATATGGGTAGGATTTGCTGCTAAATGGTAGTGTTTATTATTCAATTTGTTTTTCCCATTTCCGCATTAATTTATAGAGTACTAGCTTTTACGCGTGACTTTGTTTGCGTACATTTCGTACTTTATTAACCACTAGTTAAGTTTTTGAATATTGTAAGTAATTATTTTTTTCTAACATTAATTTCTCTTACGCCGCTTTAACTTCTAGGGATTGATGCTGATTGATGTAATGAAACAGCCTTTGTCTTTTCTCGGGATTAAAGGTTTCGTACTCAGTTTTATTAAAAATGATCTAGCCATGAGAAGCTAGCAGACTGAATTACTTCCTCGTTTATTATTTTATGATAATGACACGTAAGTGCAGACAATATTACCTACTTCACATAGTACTTACTAAATGAAAGTGTAGTCGACATAAGCTTCTATTATGTTCATGACATTGTTGTTAAGTTGATGTAATAAATATTCTACATGCTTATACTATTACATTATATACTATCGAGTAAGGTTATAACTTATGACTTGACAATTTTTGTTATGAAACGAAATAGTGTCATGTGATGAATCATCTAGTAAATCGCAGAATAATTAGATTATTTAGAAATACACTTTATCGTATTAATATTATAAATATTAAAATTAGCACAGTTGTTTGAATATTTTTAAGTTTATAACTCAATTACGCTTAAACAGCTGAACGGATTAACTTACACATAGAATATTTTATATATAGATTCATGTGGAAATAGTTCTGAATCAATTTACTCCAAATAATATATAAAGCATCACTACTAATGTGGATTTGAATGTTTGATACTTAAAAATTAATTTTATTATTTATTATTCTTATACCATATTCATACCTACAGGCAACATTTACCACTTTCCATCAATCGCTTATATTCAAAGTTTTATAAAAAAAAAATATAGTGCAAAGTTTGAGACAGCACAATATTTTATTATAATTGAAATATTAAACAGATCACAAAATATTTGAATAATCAAGAGCGCATGTCTGTGATATTATTATATACAACTCGTATAATGATCGAGTTGTACGACGAGAAATCTTACTATGCCTCCAAATTATCTTACTTAATAGTACGTAGTAACAATTTAATTAATTAATAATAGGTGTCTTACAAGAGAGACATGGTTCCCAACACGATAAATGAGCGCTGATTAATGACACGCAGGTATGATTTTGTACTCGTATACCTGTATACGAGTACAGTACGCTACTGCGGTAAAAGGACAATTATTCTTGCGTAGTTTATAAACTGAAATTTAAATCGTTAACATCCTTTTAAGGGGAGTATTCTACTAGTGAAATGATTATTTTATTAAAAAAAAATATACCTACACATATAACGATATCCAGCTTAAACAGTAGTATGACTGATTCAACATTTTGTTCATTTTCATGAGTGGAACATCCCATCAAAGGAAATCCTTTTAAATATTTTACCAAAGAAACAAAAGAAAATGTTCAGTTTCATCTTAGTAATTTGGATGTCACCCTACATGTTCTCTTTAAAAATATTTTTTGTATAGATCCATCTTCCAAAATCAATATTTTCGAATTGATTTAATGTTGTCCATACAAGCGTTTCGTTTCGTTCAGTTTTTATTGGATTAAATAAATATTTTGATATCGCTTTGTTTTGGCTATCCTCCAAATAATGAAAACATTTTCGACATTGTATGACATGTTGTATCTAGCAATTCATATATCAGGGCTTCTCATATATATAAGAGCAACGTACTGTACAATCCATTGATATACATATATTTTAAGTCTAGATATAAAATAATAAATATAAAAACAACAATAAAACTAAAGCGAATTTCGTAGTCGATTGTATCACGAATTTTGTTAAACTAAAACATTAAGATATTTATTAAGTATTCGATTTGAATGTGAATTCGTAATTTTGAATCCTGGGTGTTTTCTGCGTCAATGGTAAAACCGCTTAAACACTAAAGATAATAAATAATAGTGATTTACTCACTGCTAGTAGCCCAAAGCTTCTTCATAATAGTAATGTCCACCATATGTAGCACGGCGCATACAATGACAGCGGCTAGTGCGGCCCGCGGTATAAAGTAGAAATACGGAGTAAGGAGCGCCAGTGTGAGCAATACTATAATACCTGTTGAAAGATATATAAAACTTACATTTATTGTTTTAATTTAATACTTAACAGTGTTATCAATAATTATTTTTATTATAATCTATTTACCCCGATTTTACTCACGTGAATAATATTGTATTTAAATTATCCTATATGTTAATTTATAACCTATCAGTGCACTAAATTTCATTGAAATCCAGTCAGTCGTTTCAGCATGATATATGGTAACAAAAGTATAAACATTTTTACAAATTTTCACATTACCCTCATTAGTAGAAGTTCATTTGATTTAAACAAAATTATAATAATAATGAAATAATTAGAAATATGGGTTCCCACAAAATAAGAACTTTTGTATAGATACAAATCCTAAATTAAAATAAAAAATACTTTGAGTAACCATGATTAAAGTAGCTATTACGTGAAAACTCCTATAAACAAAATTGAACTAGAAACTCAAGTACTAAGTCATAAGTAGTTGCAAGGTCGCCACCGGAAATATTTTATTATTATTTTTATCGAAATAAGATACAGTATATTAATTGTTGTTTCTATTACGAAGATATTTTCAAAAGCAATATGCGCCGGAAACTAAATATTTCCATTATTGTGTTATTTATATACACTGTGTTATTATTATAAACTGGTGCCCTGCCAGTGTCTACCGATAACACAGGGGTTACTATTCCATTTTCACATCTAAAACAAAACGTAGAGATATATTTGTAGAACCCTTAATAGTTTTCGATCTAGAACGTGGAATCGCTTGTTTACATTTTGCTTCGTAAAAAGCAATTTTTTACTTCAACAAAGAAAACTGTACCGCTGAACATAGGTCTTCCCCATAAGGAGTTTTGCTAGTAGTTGCCACGCTCGGCTAGTGGGTTGTGCAACCGCAGTTAGGCTTTGGTGATATTTTAAAAGGGACGCTGCTGCCCATCCCTCGATCATTGAGTTCCCTTAGTCGCCTTTTATGACACCTACAGGAATGGAAGGGGTAGCCCATTCTACGTCGGGACCACACGACAAATATTTCCATGCTAGCAGTCGAATGGCCCGGCTTCATACAGGTGAATTTTCGAAAATAATGTATCGCTGTTTAGCTTATTTTATATTAGTAATTGAAACTATTTTTAAAGTCAGGAGTAATTTTATATTTTATTTTATAGTATCCACTACAAACAATCAAACAACTACATCTTTCCTCTTTATAATATTAGAATAGATAATATAATACAAAATAATTATAATATTTCGAAGTAAACCAATAAAATTTCATATATTTTTTCACTTAAATCAAATATTCTTCAGGATTTCTTTCATTGTACTAAACAAAGATAGATCTGTAATAGAATATCCATCAATTCTATAACCCTTACTACTATTTTATATTCTATCAATGATTCTTTAAAAAATTCAAATAAAATGTAAGAAACTTTCTGTTCCTTATATTAGAATATCTTACCTAATAGTAAATAATCTCATAACGATTTCATATACATATTAAAGCACGGATAAAGTATGTTAAACTAAGATTATGGAAATGCTAAAATTATATCAAATGCAAACGCTACCCTAATTCTGTTATGTGATGCAGGATTTAGATATTTAAATTTTAAATCGAGTGCGGAACTTTAGTGCGGTAAACTACCGATGCAAACTTTTAGATTTATGAACTTGAGCACCAGAGCGGTGCAAACCGCGCCCGCACATGCGAACAATGATTTATAGTACACTCGTACATTTGTCTTCACCACTATTTTGCTGCTCGCGGTCAAGACTAATAGCTTGGGTGGTAAAAACCACTGTTTTCATCTTCTATTTGCATGTATATTTATAGTGGTACGAAAACGAGTTGGTTTGAAAAGAAAGCTACTTTGGTTATAGAAAAATCAAGAATTTTCGGGAATATAGAAAAATGTATACTAAAAAAGTAAACAGATATACAAAGTGTAACTAGAAGGATACCCAGAAGCCTAGACCTAGATTAAATTTAGGAGGTGTAGACTATCTTGCCCAGTTGGACAATCTTCTATTTGAGAAAGAATTTAAGTGTCCAGAAATGGTATAAATGAAATTGTATAAAACAAGAGTTCTGCGGAGTGACTTTGATGCTATCAAATTGCAATGAAATAAAAATTACATCGAACGTACCTGAAATGAACGTTATCTTGCCTATAATTTGACGTTTATTCAACGTGATTCTCATATCAATACGACTCCATCATGTAGCTATATATTTTTTTAACATCTAGCTAAAACTAACAGTTTATAAATAAATACATATATAATTTAAATTACTACTAATAGGGCGTCGAAATACCTGCACACAATTCACGCCATTTCTAACAATAGATTTACACTTTCAATTTAAGAATATATTTGAATTCCATTTTAAAAAATAAATGTATTCTTATAAAAAATTCATTCCTTTGCCCTTTGTTTTTTGAAACTAACTCTTGTAAATTGAAATTCCTGTAAATTTAATACGATTCTGTCAGTCTACAACTACAATTCAACCACGACATGAAATAGAAATAAACTTTGGTATTTCTATATAACAAAGTTTGCCTAAATTAGAGTTGAACTTGGCTATCTTTGAGTCAGCTGTTAGGATTACTTAAATAATTGCTCGTGACGTCATCAAATCAGACAAGACCTCTACATTGATGAAGTGGTCCCAGCGTCGAGACGACCGAAACTTAATAATGAAATTTCTAACAAATCGTAACAAAGGAAATCTTAAGGAATACTTCTAGACAAAGTACCTACTCTAACCGATTCAGTGTAACCAATTTAAATTGTTATATGAAATGTCCTTTACGTTTCAAAACAAGGACAATTCTGATTATGAGAATAGAAAATCGACTCTCTTTCTTAGACTTGTTACTATGTAAAAATCTATATTAAAATATTGCTTTCATGTAAAACGAAAACAATTAATGTAATAACGAATATTTTTTTTATATTTTCTCTTTGGTAGTCCAAAACATAAAATTTTAACCATAAACCAAGTATCTATATAAAAAAGCACACGTTAAACATAAAACAGCGAAACAAAAACCCATTAGGGGTTTATAAGTGACTGTACGAATACGTTTTCTCGCTTATTTGCCAAATAGTGGAATTTTATATTTTTTTTACACTTTTATGTATGATTATATACGTTGTTACAAACATCCGCAGGCGATTCATTTAATATTTAAGGCAACATATTCAACAATTCTCAGATACATTTCCCATATACATTATTAAATTTAGGCAAAACGTATTTAGGCAGGTAAATTAAATATCTCAGGTTATCTGATCGTGTCCGTTCCATCAACTTGCTTAGATTGTTGTATTCCTCGCCTATAATTGACATTTTTATTTTGTTTTTTTTTTTTTTTTTCTGAATGTGTTTGCTGTTGGCCGTGTGTGGCCTTTACAGCTTCACCGGACGCGAATGCAGGGGCGAGTGCTGATGGCACTCCAAGCCCGCGAGAGCGACAGAGGTGTCGACTCTTTCTTATGGACTGCGGTGTGTGTGTGCGCCTAAGGGCGCCAGAGTGGCTCGGCCTCGGCTTAGGCCACCGCACTTCGACCCCCGTCGAGGGACGGCGAAGGGTCGGTACGTCTGGGTGGGTGAGATTGCGACGCGGTTGTTATGCGCTCGGGCGCAAACCTGATCGCGCGCGGACCGTGTGTCGCGAGGGTTCTTCGCCCCCGCCGGCGGGGGCGGTGTGTGCGATGTGTGGGTGTGTTTGTAGGGGCTCTTGTCGAGGGTTCCGCGGTAGGTAGGGAGGGAGACGCGTTTGCCGTCGTAGTTGGATCATCGGGGTCCAAGAGTGCGTGCCTCGGGCGACGACGTTTTGGAGCGACGTTCTCTATGGGGGGTTTGTATTTGACCGCTCTTACTATGAGCGGATTTGAATGGGACTCGGCTGAGGCGAAGTAGCGTCGAGACGCCTGCTTCATAAATTGCCTTATAGTGGGTATTTTGAGGTCGCGGTGTAGATCCACGTTGCGCATCACGGGGGCCCGTGGCCCGTCGCAGAAATTTATTTTGCACCACCTGAAAAATGAAGGAAGGGCGTGGGCGAAGACGACACTAGCGTACGTCATCACCGGTCTTATACATGCTTTATAGAGCGTCAGCTTTGCGTTAAGCGACAATTGGCTGCGCTTGTTAATAAAGGGATGGAGGCGTCCCAGTATAAAATTGGCCAGGCCTCGGACGCGCTTAAGATGAGATGCGAAACTCAACTTGGAATCTAGTGTCACGCCAAGGTATTTGGCTTCGTTCGTCCAGGGGACGGGCGTGCCAAACAGCTGAATAGAGGCGGGAAGGGATGGTTTTCTTTTGGCCGTGAAAAGCACGGCGGCGCTTTTATCTGGGTTGACTTCGATGCGCCATTTTCTGAACCAGTAGGCCATCGTCCACCGCCCGTTGAAGCCTGTTGGCTGCACAGGCGGCCGACGTGCTGTCCACATATAGGGCTATATCATCAGCAAAGAGGGCGATTTGCACTCGGGGCTGACGCGGGATGTCGTTGGTGTACAACGAGAAGAGGGTGGGGGAGAGGACAGCGCCTTGAGGGACGACGGCTCTAATCGGTCGTGCGCTGGAACGCACTCCATTGACGCGATAGCGATATGACCTATTGGACAAGAAGGCTCGTATGATGTGCACGAGCCTGTCTGGCACTCCCATCTTGTGCAGTTTGAAAATCAAGCCGCTGTGCCAGACTTTGTCAAAGGCCTTCGCTACGTCGAGAAACAGGGCACATGTGACCCCGTTGGATTTCAGGTGTCGGGCGTTGAGGACGTGTTCTACTACACGATGTACTTGATGAACAGCTGAGTGCTTGGCTCTAAAGCCGAACTGCTCATCGATCAGGATGCCTTTGGACTGTAGCCAATCTTTCAGGCGTGCGAGTATTAGCATACAGCTTCCCCAGCGAGCTGAGGAGACTGATGGGGCGAAAACTGGTGGGAAGGGACTTATCTTTCCCAGGTTTGGGAAAGCCTACGACATC